TAACAACAATTAACCACACAGCTATGTAACTAACTTTAGAAGCAGACTACACACAGGCTGCACGGTGGGCCCCACATCTAGCGCTCACCTTTGGCTTCTTCCTTTGGGACAGTAGAGTTCCCGCATCTTCAGCCTTCTCTTTCACTCCCAGGCTGGTCCCACACCCATCACGCTTCTCATCCAGTTTTAGTGGTGGCTCACAAGCAGGGCTTCAGGCGACATTGTACGCTGCAGCACGGCAGGGCCAACAGTGGATTCCATTTCTTCCCTTTCCTCCCTGTCCACCTTCAGTCCAGATCTGTCCGAGGAGCATTTTTGTCTCTGTGTGACCCATCTGCATGTCTGTGGCTCAGCTCTCACCAAACATCTCTTCTGTCGAGTACGTCCTTCCCCCAAGTTCTTCCAGTTCCATGTGCCAACACCAAGCCCACTTGCCTGACCTCAGATCCTCTCTCTCCCTAAGCATGTCCTGGCCACACAGCCTCCTGACCACTGCCAAACCCCCACCTCATGACTCCCCACCTTGTCTTGCCTGTCATAGTTCTCTTTCTGGTCAAGCAATGATTGCCTGCACTCCTGGCTCAACTCGAGTGTCATGCCAAAGGCGTTGCAGAGACCACTGTCATTGGTGGTGAAAGAAGTGACCCAGACAGAAACAGAGCCAAGGAAAAGTTTAATAGTTATGTGATTAATTCATGGCCCAGTGCTGGGATTATGGGTGTGAGTACCACACACATCCTAGGGTGGGTGCTGCCTACATTCATTTATAACAGACAAAGAGCCTTTACTCCAGGCTCCTCCCTTTTTCCCTTGTTGCTTTGGTTGTTTCCCCACCACCGTGAACTGTTGCCCTCTGCCATGAGTCACTCTGCTTTGGAACCAAGCAAATATGGACTGAAACCTCCACTAACTGTGAGCTAAGTAAACTTTTGCTTCCTTAGTTTTACGGAACAGGTATTTTGTCTCAGCAGTGAAAAAAAAGTAACTAAGACAGTATTTGTTTTGCTTTCATGTGATGCTGGAGGATGGAACCAATCTACCACTGAATTATACTCCAGCCCAACTGTACATAACCTTTTGATAACTTGGGAGATAATTATATACCCATATAACTATCACCTCCATTGTCATGAACTTATTTGCCATCTCCACAGCTGTACCTTTCCCTCTTCATTATCATCTGTTGTTACTTTTGTGCTAACACTTAACATATTAACAACTACTGTTTCAGCCAAAGTTTTGAGATAGTTTCACTATGCAGTTCAGTCTGCCTTGAACTCACTATGTAGCCCAGGCTGGCCTCAAACCCTTCTGCCTCAGCCTCCTGAGTTCTGGGATTATAGATGTATGCCACCACACCTGGTTTTTGTCCAAGCAACTTTTTTTTTTTTTTTTTGGTACTGGGGCTAGAATTCACGACCTCGTGCTTGCAAGGCAGGGGCTTTGGCCATTGAGCTAAACCCTCGGCCCATTGTTGGAGCAACTTCTAAGAATACAATACAGTTATGCTAGCTTTAGGCACTGTGCTGTATAGATCTCCAGAACTATTGTGTAACAGAAACTTCAACACTTGCCCTTCTCCTCTCTCTCCTACCTTATCCCCTGGAAAACCATCAATCTACTCTCTGCTTTTATGAGATAGACGATTTTAGATTCTACAGGTAAGTAAAAATTCAGCCACCTCCGAAAAGGCTACCTTCCATGACTCCATGAGGCACTGGGAGGACATCTAGACACAAACAAAACAGATACTTTCCCTGTGACTAATTTTATGATCTTAAATTATTGTTAATGTTCTTCTTTTCCATTTTTTTTACAGGAGTTTGAAAAGGATAGACACTAGTTTTTAAATGCTTGGGAAATTCATCTAGTCCTGAGCATTTCTTAATGGGAAAAAATTGATTACTGATTCAGTACCCTTTCTCATATTAGGGTTGTGGGGTTTTTTTAGATTTTCTATTTCTCCATGATTCAGTCTTGGTAGGTGGTTTCTGTCAAGAAACTCACCCACTTCTATTAGGCCATACAGTTTGTTGACAGAGTACTCTTTGTACTAATTTCATTATTCCTTGTATTTCTGTGATGTTTTTTATTTCCTTTTTTCATTATTTTGAGTCTTTTTTCTAAGTCTGAATGTCTGTGAATTTTATCTCTTTAAAAATTCCTAGTTTTGGGCTGGGGATTTAGCTCAGTGGCATAAGCGCCTGCCTGGCAAGTGCAAGGCCGTGAGTTCAATTCCCAGCACTAAAAAGAAAAAAAACCCCAAAAACTCCTAGTTTCACTGATCTCTTGTATTATTGTTCTACTCTTATTGTATCAGCTTTAATTTTTTTTTACTGCTAACTGGGAGTAGTTTATTCTTTTCCTGTTTCCTGATGTAGAAAATTACCTGTTTGAGCTCTTTTTTTTAATGTAGGTATTTATTGTTATTCCAGTTTCTCTCAAAACTATTATTGCTGGGGCTGGGGATTTAGCTCAGAGGCATAAGCACTTGCCTTGCAAGCAGGCGGTCGTGAGTTCGATCCCCGGTACTGATAAAAATGAAAAAGACAAAAAAAAAAAAAAAACTATTATTGCTGGGGCCAGGGATTTAGCTCAGCAGCATAGCACCTGCCTAGAAAGCACAAGGTTGACAAGGTTGACAGCTGGTATAAAAAAAAAAATACTAGAGCCGGGCTAGTGACACATACCTGTAATCCCAGCACTTGGGAGGCTGAGGCAGGAGGATCGTTGCAAGTTTGAGACCAGCCTGGGCTACAAAGTGAGCTCAGGGCCAGCCTGAACTGCATAGCGAGACCCTGTCTCAAAAAGACAAAAAAAAAAAAAAAAAAAAAAACCACTACTACTAAAGATGGATATGATGGCACATCCCATAATCCCACTACTCTGGGAGGATGAGGCAGGAGGATTCCAAACTAGAGGCCAAACTGATTTTTCTTTGTCTTTTTCTTTATTAGTACCAGGGATCGAACTCACAACTGTCTGCTTGCAAGGCAGATGCTTATGCCGCTGAGCTAAATCCCCAGCCCCAGAGGACAAACTGATTTTCATAGTGAGAACCTGTCTCAACAACTACTATTACTCTACCTTATAAGTTTGGTTACACTGAGTTTCCATTTCTGTTCATCTTAAGAATTTTTTGAGGAGCCGGGCATGGTGGTACACACCTGTAATCCCAGCATTTGGGAAGCTGAAGCAGGAGGATCATTACAATTTTGAGACCAGCCTGGGCTACAAAGTAAGCCTGAACTGCATGATGAGACCCTGTCTCAAAAAAAAAAAGAGAATTTAAATTATTTGATTAATTACTTATTTATTTTTGGTACTGGAATCAAACTCATGACCTCACACTTGCCAGGCAGGCACTTATGCCACCGAGCTAAATCCCTGGCCCTAAAAAGAAAAAAAAATTAAGTCTATTTCTTCTTTAATTTCTTGGCTGCTGAGGACCATGTCCCTTAATTTTCACATTTGTATTTGTTTTCCTCACATTACCAATTTCTACTTTCATCTTATTGCATTCAGAAAAAAAAATTGAAATTATTTAAACCATCTTAAATTTATTGAGACTTGTTTTGTTGCCCAATATATGACCTCTCCTGGACAGTATTGCCCGAGGGATTGAGAAGAATGCATATTCTGTTACTGCTGGAAATACTTGCTGGGTTCATCTGGTCTACCATATTGTTCAAGTCTATTCTTCCCTACTGAGTTTCCACCTGGATAATTTGGTACCAGAGAAGTGAGGGTGTTCTGTGACTGTGCCTGACCATGTGTTTCAAGAACCTATGGGAGGGGCTGGGGATTTAGCTCAGCGGCATAAGCACCTGCCTTGCAAGCAGGCAGTCGTGAGTTCGATCCCTGGTACTGATAAAAAAGAAAAAGACAAAAAAAAAAAAAGTAAGAACCTATGGGAATGGCTTATGGGAAGTCTTTAGAAAGGTTCAGAGATTTCACCTGCAAGAGTAGGGCTGGAATGCCTCAGGCATATGGGAGATTGTGGTCAAAAGGCTGATAGATCAAAAGGCTGATAGAAATCCTGCTGGTAGCTGGGATTTAGCTCACTGGAGTAAACACCTGCCTGCCAAAGTCATGAGTTCCATCTCTGGTACCAAAAATAAATAAATAAAAGAAAAAGAAATCTTGCTGGTAAAGACCAGGTTTGGGAGGTTTCTGCTGGGAAGAAGGACTGCATTTCGTGCTAGACTCCAGATTGGAAAAAGTGTGTCTGTATTTTTTTTGTGTCCAGAGCACTGCCTGAGACTAAGACTAAGAGTGCTGGACTGATAAGAAATTTCAAGGCAGTTGAATGTTGAGGTTGTGGCATGGCTATTGTTGGGGGCTTTAAGCCAGATTTATGCTGAGAATTAAGGGCAGGGTGGGGACATGGCTCAGCGGCACAGCAACTGAATGGCAAGAGGGAGGTTGTGAGTTTGATTCCCAGTACAAAAAAAAAAGAGAAAAAAGAAAAAGAAAAGAAGAAAGAAAATCAAGAGCAAAGAACCTAGCAGGATGACTTAAAACACTGAGCAGAAAGGAAGCTCCAATAATGCTGTGGACTACAAAAATAGAGCTGAGGAGATCTTGATTGCTGACAAGTAACAGGAGAATAGAAAAGATAATCTGAGGGCATCACAAGAAGCAGCAAGTCTCCACTCTTTGCAGCCTGTGAAACTGAAAGACTGCTTTAAGAGAAAGCAAGGGCCTGGGGATTTAGCTCAGCGGCGTAAGCACCTGCCTTGTAAGCAGGCAGTTGTGAGTTCGATCCCTGGTACTGATAAAAAAGAAAAAGACAAAAAAAAAAAAAAAAAAGAGAGAGAGAGAGAGAGAAAGTCACAGAGCACCAAGTTCCAGAATGGTGGCAGCATAGAAGATTTGTTCCTCAGGATTGGATTCAGATTCAGAATGCCCTGGCCCTGAATCAAGGCCAGCAGCTTCCTGACACTGTTGTGGGGTTTTTTTTTTTTTTCTTTTTTTCATTTGTATCGGTACCGGGGATTATGCCGCTGAGCTAAATCCCCAGCCCCAACACTGTTGGTTTTAAGCAGGAGCCTAAAGAGATGTCTTTCTATGGTCTGTTAGCCATTTCAGAACTTGGGCAGTGAAATGGTCAATTCACTAGAAAGAAATAGCTTGAAGCAAACCCCCTACCCCCATGAGCTGCTGTGAGCATGGCAGGCTGCAGTGGCCCAGGATGGGAGCCACCGGCGTTCACTGGAACCCGCACTATGCTAGGACCTCAAGCACCAGGAAACCAAGCAACCCCTCCCCCCTGCCTGGTTTGTTTTGTTGGACTTCAATATACATGAAAATATGGACAGCTATTTTGAAGAGAATGAGAGACTACACAACAGCCATTAGTGACTTCCCTATTGTCTAGTTCTGAAGACCTAAAACGCCTTCCTCATTCTGTTTGGATCAGTTTTTGTGGGTTTTTTTTTTTTTTTTTTTTTTTTTTTTGTCATTTTCCTTTTTTTATCGGTACAGGGGATCGAACTCACGACTGCCTGCTTGCAAGGCAGGCGCTTATGCCGCTGAGCTAAATCCCCAGGCCCCTGTTTGGATCAGTTTTATGCTATGTTTTTTGTATGAACTCTCTGTGTGTGAAGACACGGACAACTATTTGGAAGAATACAAGAGACAATATGATAGTGAAGTTCTCAGGTTGTCTAGCTTTGAAATTTATATCTTTTACACTGCTTTCTTATATCCTATTTTGTTGTTTTGTTGTGTTTAATTTTACCCTCTTTAAAATAAAAATAATAAAATTTAAAAAAAAAAAAACGGATCAAGTGCTCAGCAATTCAGGCACTCGACCCCTACAACCCAGAGACAAGAAAGCCTGGCTACCACTCTAGCTGGCAGCAGCCATGTGGTACTGGTTTTAGGTGCATACAGAATGCAAGCGTTATAGGGTTAAAAAGGCTTCCACATCAACTTCCAAAGGCCTGGGAGGCCAGGCAGGGTGTCCCTGAGAGGACAGTGTGTGAAATTGTGGGAGGCCAAAGGTGAGTAGAGACCAGAGAAATTTGGAAAGGTCAGGAATATGGAGCATCTAAGGAAAGCTGCAAAGAGGGAGCAAAGCAGGTGTAGGAGAAAAGATGTAGGACCTACAAGCACTGGGAAGTGCTGCGAGGGTGGAGCCATTCAAGCCCCTTGGGGCTCGAAATATGCCACAGATTGCTTCAGATGCCGGACATGGAACTACAGGATTTAATGTTTGTGATGCTGGATGTTGGATTTGCTTTGGTACTAATCCTTTGTATTTCCCTGTGTATAACTTTTGGAATGAAAAGATTTATCTCATGCCACTGAATGCTGGAAGTGTTTGTTTTCATTTGTACAGGGCTAAGAGTTTCCCTTACACCTTGGAAGGAACTTGAGATTTGGACTTCTCAGCAACGCTGAAACTGTTAGGACTTTAGCAACTCTTGCAGAGGGACTAAATGCCTTCTGCATAAAGGGATGGACAAAAGTCTCTGAGGAGTCAGGGGCAAAATGTTATGGTTCTAAGGTAGCATAATGTTGATACACAACTGGTTCATAAGGATTGTAAAGTCTGTATTATAAATGTTCAAGTTGTGAAATGTAAGAATAAGCATGTCTTCATACTTGGAAACCCATTTACAGAAATGTGTCCGGTTGCTATATTGACAAGGGGTGATTGTAATGACTGATACATTGTATCAAGTTTAGAAGTTGGAGCACTCAGCAGAGAGCCAGGGTCCTGGCTTTGTAAACATCCTCAGCATGTGCAAGAGAAGGCAGAAGTGGTGTGAGGACTACACTCACCATTGTAGCCTGCTTACAATAAGGGAGAACAGGTTCTCCCCACTTTTGCTCTTGTTGCTTTTGCTGCCTTGAGATGTTGTTCCCTGTGCCCTGCCACCCTGCCTTGGAACCAGCTGAGTATGGACTGAAACCTCCATAAACTGTGAATTAAATAAACCTTTCCTTCCTTAATTTTGGGTGTCGGGTATTAGCAGTGAGAGAATTGTAACAAAACATTTACTTTTTTTTTTTCCCCTAAATTGCTATCCATTTCTCCTTTAGAGTCTGTTAATATTTGCTTTATATATTCAGGAGCAATGATGTTGTGTAGCACATACATACACACTTTTCAAATTCTTTTTTTTTAATTTTATTTAAAAGGAAAAAGAGAAAAACAAAACAAAACAAAGCGGTGTAAGGGTACACGTAATACAGAACTACAAAAAAAAAAAAAACAGTAAGAAATCACCAGTTAATAGATTACATATTATCATCTTAGAAATAGTTGCTCAAATCATAGTATCAAAGAATACAAAGTGGACATTCAAACAGTGAGACTGCAAACAGCCGTGTTCAATGATCCAACCAAAAACATTAATATGGTCAGCCATTTAACACCCCTAAACACACTTGCTGTTGTATCCTTTAGAGCTCTTTTTTTTCCCTCTCTTTTTTACAACAAAATTTACACATTTTGGGTTTTATTACTCCTTAATTCTTATTACTTTTTTGGGGGGGAGAGAATAAAGTCAAATATGGCAAAACAAAGCTGTCATTCAAAACCAAGGATAGACATAGCACATGATGTAAAACAGAGTACAAGGTTATCAACAATGGTTATCAACGATGTCTCTTGTTTCCTTAAAAAGAATTGTCTATCTCATTAGATATTATAAAGTTGAACAAAACAGTAGAGAACAAGACCAATAAAACTTAGGCATTGTAAACATTACAGGACTTCCAAAGGAGACAATAGTCAAACCAGAATGGGCATCTTAGTGAATCTTATTGCCTTCAAAGTAGTTGCCTATACCCTCAAACTTGATACTATCATACAATATGGAACAGAGTCTAATCAGTCAAAACAAGATAGTGGGAGTATTACAGGACTTCAAAACAAGTTAATAGGAAATCAAAAAAAGTTACTCTTATATATCCTGCTAATTTTTTTTAATTTTTCCCCTTAATTAAAACAAACATAAGAAATAACTAAATAATTTTTTTTAAAGAATAAGGGAGAGATTGAGATAAAACAGGACATAACAATATAACAATACAGGTCAAAGCATGACTGTTTCAGCAACCTAGTGCTTCACCACCAAATAACCCGACTTAATAGTAGTTACCATAGTGTCTGTCTTTTTCCTTGAAATATTTGAATAAAACTTGATATACTATAGCTTCAAATATTTCCATATCAAGAAGCCCAGAATAAAGCCTTTCCAATTAATCAGTGAAAACTTTATAAGGCTTCAAGGCCACATAATGGGGAATCATGATTACCACATATTTTTATATATTTGAATCATTACTTACATTAGGGAAACTATTTGGTATTCACACATGCGAGATTGATTTATTTCACTTATGAGTATGGTCTCAAGCTGCGCCCATTTATTGATAAATATCTCAATGTGATCCTTCTTTATAGCTGAATAATACTCCATTGTATAGAAATACCACAACTTTTTTATCCATTCCTCAGTTGATGGACACTTGGGTTGTTTCCAAGATCTGGCAATTACAAATTGTGCTGCTATAAACATAGGTGCACATATATCACTGTGGTATGATACTTTCAGTTCTTCTGGGAATATGCCTAGAAGTGGAATAGCTGGAATAAATGGGATTTCCAATCCCAACTTTTTGAGAAATCTCCAGACAGACCTCCACAAAGGCTGTACCAGTCTACACTCCCACCAACAGTGCAGGAGAGTTCCTTTTTCCCCACAGCCTCTCCAGCATTTGTTGTTGTTGGTTTTCTTGATCCTGGCCATTCTTTCAGGAGTAAGATGGTATCTCAGTGTGGTTTTAATTTGCATTTCTCTAATGACCAATGATGATGAACATTTTTTCATGTATTTATTTGCCATTTGCATTTCTGCATCTGAGAAGTGCGTATTCATCTCAGATGCCCATTTTTGGATTGGATCTTTGAATTTTGGGGGTCTGAGTTTTTTTAATTCTTTTTATGTTTTAGACAAGAGTCCCTTGTCTGAGAGAGAGTTCACTAAAATCTTTTCCCAGTTTGTGGGTTTTCTTTTCACTATGCTGGAGATTTCTTTTGACATGCAGAAACTTCTTAATAAGAAGTGGTCCCAGATATTGATTCTGGGAAGTATTTCCTGTGCGGTTTGAGTCCTGTTCATGAATTCTCTACCTACTCCTATGTCTTCAAGGTTTCTACCCAATTTGTCTTCCAATAGATTTAGTGTTTCTGTTTTAATATTCAGATCTTTGACCCATTTAGATTTTAATTTAGTACATGGTGATAGACATGGATCTAGCTTTAGTTTTCGGCAAATGGAGAGCCAGTTTTTCCAGCACCATTTATTAAAGAGAATGTCGTTCTTCCAGTGAAACTGCTTGGCTCCTTTATCAAAGATAAGGTGGTTGAGTGTGTTTGTAGTTGTGGTTGTATCTTCTAATCTATTCCATTGATCTTCACCTCTGTTTTGATTCCAATACCATGTTGATTTTACTACTGTTGCTTTGTAGTATAACTTCAAGTCAGGTATTGTGATGCCTCCTGCTTTGTCTTTGCTGCTTAGAATTGCCTTTGCTATTCTAGGTCTCTTCTGGTTCCAGATGAAATTTAGGAGTGATTTCTCTAGATCTATAAGGTATGTTGATGGTATTTCTATTGGGATTGCATTGAATGTGTACAATAGTTTTGGGAGAATGGCCATCTTCACAATGTTTGTTCTTCCTATCCATGAGCAAGGGATGTCTTTCCATTTTCTGAGATCATCCTCAATTTCCTTTTTCAGTGTATTATAATTTTCACTGTATAAGTCTTTCACTTCTTTTGTAAGAGTAATTCCTAAATATTTCATTTTTTTGCTTGCTAATGTGAAGAGTGCAGTTTCTCTTATTTCCCTCTCTGTGAGTTTGTTGTTCATGTATAGGAATGCTATTGATTTCTGAGTATTGATTTTGTATCCAGCCACATTACTGAATTTATTTATTGTATCTAAGAGTCTTTCAATGGAGTTTAGGGGGTCTTCTATGTAGAGTATCATGTCATCTGCAAACAATGATAATTTAACTTCTTCTTTTCCTATCTTTACCCCTTTTATTTCTCTTTCTTGCCTAATTGCTCTGGCTAGTACTTCCAGTACTATATTAAATAGGAGTGGTGAT